CAAAGGGGGGGGGGGGGATTTCTGAGGCACAAAACTGACCTGCAGAGCCCCTTCTTAAAGCCAAGGAGATATGAGTTGCCCAGGCGAGCAGCGCCACCTTGCTGGGGCAGGCTGGTGAGGTGCCTCCCCGCCTCTCTTGGGCCTGGGGTTAAGCTTGAGCTGACCGGAAGAGGAGCCGCTGCAGACGGAGAGGTCTGGAGACTCCAGGGTTCTCCCTGGGCTTCGCGGGAAAGGCCCACTGGCTTCTTTCCTGAGTCTGCAGCTGGCCCAATAGATCAAACCTGTGAGGTCTCCCTGTGCCCTGAGCCCTTTCCTAGTCAGGGGGCATCGTAGGCTGGGACAGGGCCACGCTCTTGGAGATGGGGGCTGTCCGGTGTGCCAGAAAGTTTGCATCTACGCTCAGGATGCAGACGTGCTCTGGCACCCTGTTGCTGCACGCACTGGCTCCGAGCCTCCCTTGTATTCCCCTCTCCGAGGAGCCCTGGTGACGGCTGCCTGGCCCGGCCAGCGACCCCTTTTACGTTCTTCCCTGTTTGTTACTGGTGGGCTGTGTCTGAGTTAAACTGGGAGACGGTTTGGTGGAAACTGTCCTTGTTTGTGAAGACCTCTTCAAACGCTGCAAGAGAGAGAGATGTTCCTCATAAATTCTTTAAAGCAGTGGGCTCCCACCTCTTCTGAAGTCAGCTCCTGATGATTTATGCACTTCTGTTTCAAAGAGCTGAGGCACGCGGGCTGGGAAATCTGCTGGGACCCCATTCATAAACGTCTCAGTAGCATGCCACCGCGCCTTATGGTAATTTCACCCATGAATCAATGATTAATTATTAAGAAATTAGGGAAGTTAGCTCCTTGGTCTGCTAGACACAGACATTCTGCTCATTCCAGCATTTCCATCGAAGCAAAGAAAAGTGGGGAAGTTTTGCAAAAGGCACGGTATCCTCGGTTCACTTTTGGGGACCACACGGGGTCTCTCTTTTTGGCCTGGGTGCAGCTTTGTTCCCCTTACACGATTTTCTTTATTTTGAGCGGTTACCCAATGGCTGGGTCCTTGGGGGGTTCCGCAGCAGGTGACTCTCTGGTTGGTGCCCACAGTTCACGGTTGACACTTGGCCTCCCGGGAGGGCCGTGGGCTTCACGTATCGGCGCCTACTCAGGGCGTAGTTTCTGGTTGGGTTTGGCCAGGCCTGGGCCTTTGTCGTCGGCTCCCTGCTGGCTCTGTGGGGTTCCCCTTCCCCCTGTGGCGGGGAGCTGGACGGTTTGGAGGGAGTGACCAGGCGGAGGGCTTGTGGCAAGAGTGGGAGGCGCCTGCGAGACTGTGAGCTCCTGGCAGGATCAGGGCCCGGGGGAATAAGCGGGTGGCGGCAGAACCAGAGCAGGTTCCTTTTCAAACCTGAAACGGGTGGGTTGTAGGGCTCCAGCCTTCCAGGTTCATGCGCACTTCAGCAGAAGAGTCCTTCCTGGCCGCTCTGCCCATGCTCAGAGGCACGTTGCCCACGGCATGCAACAAGGCCTTTACAATGAGCTGGGACCGGCAGGAAGGCATGTTGATGTGGGAAGCGGTGATCTTGGTTAAAAAGTGGAAGGCTTCCAGGGGATCTGAGGCAGCAACTAACACAGGTGGTAATTGGCATGTCGGCAAAGCTGCTGAAAGGGCACCTGGCAGCATCAAGCTGCTCCTAATTACTCAATTTCACGCAAGGGCTGGGAACTGGCCTCGGCGGTGCCTCCCGAGCAGGCTGAGGAAAGCTCAAACCAGCTCGTTTCTCTGCTTCTCCGCGATGCAGCGGCCTTTGGCATCACGGATGGGGGAATAGCCTCTCCGCCAAATGCCCTGGCAGTGGGCACCGGCAAACCCACTGCCGGGTTTTTCTTCCCTGCTGGAAGAGTGCTGAGTTTTGCTGCTGCAGAAAGCCTGACTTCTTGTCTCCTGCAGAGGGGTGAAGGGAGTGGGGTAGCTGAAGATGGGAGGGGGGAGAAGGGGAGGGGTTTCCGCTGCACCCTTTAGACAGGCTTGAGCCCGAGGGAGGGAGGGAGGGAAACCTCTGGGCAGGTTGCCACCGAGGGGAAGGGAACTGCCCCCGCACAAGCATCCCCTCTACTTCTGTGCCCGCGGGGCCCCGTTCCCCCATTCTCGGCTGAGAAGTCCCCAGGTTTCTCCTTGCCTGCCTGCCTGCCTGCCTGCCTGCCAGGGAGGAAGATGGCCTTGCATTCCCCGAGGAGGTCCATAGCAGACTCCACCTGCAAGAGGATTTGATTCCTGGCGTTGCGGCTGATGCTTCCGGGCTTTCTTGCTTCCTCTCCCCTTCCTCTCCTTTGCTGGCTGCTTCCGGCATTGCATCACCAGGCTCGCTGGTTTCTAGCTTAGAAAGTTCTGTGGGCTCCCCGGTCACGGCTGAGGGTGGCCACCCTCCCTTTTCCCCCCACTCTTGGGGTCAGGGGAATGAGGTTGCAGGGAGAGGGGCTGGTCTGTGGCCGTCACTGCTTAGCGCTCTGGAGCTGTGCGGTGGTGAGGGTGAAGCCTCCAGTCTGTCCAGGTGGGGCATCTCCCCCCGCCCTCCCAGGGACGGCCTTTTCTCTGCCTCCGTCTGCAGCCTTGGGGAAGGTGGGTCTCCTTGAAGATGCCATTGGGGATTTCTCCCGCCTGGGGCGAAAGGCTCTCTCTCTTGTGGGTCCTTTCTGCAGATGAGTGGCACGGCAAGTAGGACAGAGTATTGCTAGCCAGACAAGTAATTGAAGGGCTTGGTTGAAGGCATCAAATCCCGCAAATTGTAAGAAGTCAGCCATAAATTATGGCGGGCGGGGGTGTCTCTTTATCGGTGGAGTAGCGTGCAGAATGAGCCCAGCAAACGAGACGCCCAGGACGCTGCACGGTGCAGCTTCGTCTGACGCTTAGCAGAGGCGGAACGTGGTCGGGCGGTAAATCCCCTCGTGGTTATTCAAAAAGGCTGCAAACTCTTGCGCAAGAGGAACAGCCTGGCTGGACTACAGCTCCCCTCATTCCCAGCTGGTGTGGTCTCCAAGTACTCAACCCTCTTTTCTAATTCCAGGGACGTCAGCGTTACGTCCCTGGAATTAATCTGAGCCAGAGAAGATGAAAGGGCTTTCTCCTCTTAAATGACAGTTTAGGGGGGGCCCGAACACCCATGGGGTCCCCACTTTTCATCCAGAAGCAGTAAACCTTTCCCCTGATGAAGTGTTCACTCAGTGACTCTTCAAGGAGCATCCTATGACGGGTCTGACCCCTGAAATAACGTTTCGCTTTCTGCAGGAAGCCAAGGCCAGGGCAGGCCAGGGTTTGGGAGAAGGATTCTGGCTTTTCTTGCCAGGTTCCTCCTTGGCTCAGTTGCCAGCTAGTGGCCTTAATGCACTCACGAGAGACCTTGAATAGCCTGAAAACGTTTCCTTAGCCTCCGAGGCCGGGCTGCCCGGATCAGTCCCCACCGTAAGGCAAGATCCATCGTCCCCCTTCTCCCAAAGGCTGCTTAGCAAGGTGAACCTGCCACTCAGATCTTCTCTGCTTGGTGAGGGCTCCACCTGTCGCCACTTTTCCTGCACCTGCTCGGGCAGCGAGAGAGACCGGGCGGGTGGCATCTGGGAGCAGGCTTGCCCGTTCGATACCGCGAGGGGCTCCAGCGTAGATTGGTTCTTCCTTCGACATGTGGCCCTGAGTCGGGACCCTTCCCGACCCGTTTCGCTCTTCCCTTTTCTCCCCAGCCTTCCCAGCGGGCTCGGGCTGGTCTCCTGCCACCCCTCGGACGCCATTGTTTGCAGCTCTGCAGACGGGCCTGTTCTGCCTCTTGCCTGCTAACACGTGAAGCTGGAATCATCGCCCCTGGGTTGCATGGTTATTCCAAAAACACGTGTGCGGCTTGGCTTGGGGGTGGATGGAGGCAGGAGCTGCTGGGGAACGTCCTGCAAGGAGAGGGGCTCCGTTGGCGGGTGCCCTTTGAGGCCGAGCTGCGTTTTGGCACACGAACGCGGGCTCCTACAGCGGGAGGCGGAAGGTGGCCCTGGGAGGTGAAATGAAACCTAATTGCTGCAGTCAGTTTAATTCCGCTCTCTGTCTCCCCTTATGAATGGGCCCCATCAAAATGGCAGCTAATTAGCACCCGCGCATTTCACCTGAGCAGCCATTAATTTTAGCTGCTTTCATCTTCCCTTCTCCCCTCTTCTTTTTGAGAAGGTTGCAAGCGGAGATCTGCCACGAGTCCCCTCTCTCTGTAGCTGCTCTTGGGAGTTGACTGGAGAGCCAGGGTTGTGGAGGCACCACAAGCCTGTATTGGTGTTGCGTTGAGGTGGGGCCTGTAGTCGGGTTCGCCTCCCCCTTGCTGGGCTGCAGACGCAGCCCTCTGAAAACCACTGCACTCCGCGGGGCTTTTGCAGGGGAAATTCCTCAGCCTGCTGCCCGTCTCGGCTTGGCGCCCTCAGATAGTAGCCCGTGTGAGAACCAACGATGTTCTTCTTGGTTTAGTCGGGGTTTCTATAGGATTCCAGGATGCGAATGCGACTCCCCTGAAACTGGCCAGATGCCGAGGAATGAATTTAGCCGGGTGCGTCGCCCACAAGGCCGTGGGAGCCTGTGTGGCTCGAGGGCTGAAGCAGGACAGGGTGGCGG